TACTGTTCCGAGACTCGCGTGGTCGCGATGTACGCTCAATGGGGGCCACTCACGTAGAGCGGAGGTGTACCGCAGGTTTGGCTTATCCGAAAGCCATGCACTGATGGGCGTAAGGAACAAACTACTAGGGGCACTCCGATCCAAACTCCGTACGCTCGGGCGCCTGCACAGAGACCACAGCAAAGCCATTGTCCCCGATGGACGCGGAGTACGCAATCCCGCCTCCGATCGTACGGTGAAGGCGTTACCGTCTCGAACCCCACAAAGAGACATACCAGCTCACACTCACACATAGGACCTGCATGTCATCGGCCCATCGTATGGGTATGGTGTGTCCGAGGCCGATATGGAGAGGCGGGCGTGCCTGAAATTCATAGTTCGATGGAGGCGCAGGGAGCGTAAATCGTATTGTTAGTCGCCCCCCTGCTGCACTCAGTCCTTATGTACTCCACATGCTGAGTCCGGAGAATGTGTCTTTTGGAATCCGCCGCCTCGTGATCCTTGCCATTGGGTTGGGCCAGAGTACGTACCTGACCTCTCGAGTCGATCACGTATATGCACCCATCGCTCCAAAAGCCCGGCGAGATGGCGTCACGGGAGGATGGGGGTGGTTGTCAACCCACAACCCACCCCCGACTCGGACGTCCAGTTCTTCGCGGACTTGCAGTGTGCGGTGACGCCACTCCGTACGAGTCCGCTGCCATTCATGACGACAGTGTGATCGTGCCCACGGGTTCGTCCCAGGGCACAAAGACGGCACGGATTGGCCGCTATGGGCACCCGGGCGTATCAAAACACCTGCGCGCGCTGCTGTAGCAGGTGTTGTGCCTGTAGTCACGCGGGTTAAGGCCAACATCCCCCGATCGAGAGCGGATAACTTTGAGAAGTACAGACTGACCTCTCGAGCGGCATAAGAGCTGTAAAAGTGTCAATGACATTCTTCATTGCACAGCGACTCATTCAGTGTCCAGAGAGCACGCGATGCACAACGCAATCGCACACCTTATTTCGCGTAGTCCAAGTATTTCTATGAATGAGTGGAAGAATATGTAGATTTTCGACCACAAACGCCGTAGTACAGTTCCTACTACCGGTTTATTTGAGCCTCCCGTCACCGGGTGCCGCTAAAGACGGGTAGATATCCAAAGGCGAGGGATGGGATGATAGCGGAGTGCGAACGGGTCAAGCGAGGTGTCGAGGAAGGTGCGTGCATACAGCGAGGACGCAGGGCTTGGTGGACAAGGGCGAGTCGGAGAAGGAAGAGAGCGTGCAAGACGCGTTCTCAGTCCTCGCCGTCGGCACAAGGCGGAGACGCCCGGAGCCCGGCCCTGGATGACGCGCCGGCAATTAAGCAGAACGTTAATTGACACAGCCACATATCCCTTGTCATTCCGTCCCGTCCCCTCACTCCTCCTCTCTCCCGCCCACCATGCACGTGCCGCCCGGAACGTCCCCCTCCTCCGCAGAGGCCGCCGTCTCAGAGCAGAGCGCAGGGTGACACGTGCTCTGGCTGTGGCTGGCGACGCGGCGCGGGCGGAGAAGAGGGGGAGGGAAGACAGGGAGGGAGCCCGATTGGGAGGGGATGCATGGAGAAGGCGCAGGGCGGAAGTCGACTGCTGTCACTGGAAGCGACGCGGTCGCAATTTGGGCCGGGACGGGCTAGGAGAGTGCCTTTCGCTCTCCCGCGCCCTCGTCCCCAGTCCATCCCCCGTCCCGCCACTTTCCCCGCCACGTCCCTCCCATGTCTCCAGTCCTCCCCCGCCCGCCCGAGCCCTCGCCCGTCCCCGTCCCCGCCCCCTGCCTTTCTCCTTCTCCCCACCACCATCACACCGCCCGCCCGCGCCCAGACTGAGGCCCGTCTGCGCTTGCCCCCCAAGGCATGGCCGACCTGGACCCCACCTATGGCGCCCTCTTCATCGGGGTCCTCGTCTCCGCGGTGTGAGTGCCTGGTCTCAGCCGAGCAGTCCGCCGTGGTAGCTGACTGCATCTCAGGCTCTTCGGGGTGACCATGCTTCAGACCTTCGTTTACTTTCAACACTACTCTTCCGATAGGCCGTGGAGAAAGCTCGCCGTTTGTTGGTTATGGTACGCGTACTCGCTGGGTTCACATGCGTCCATTCTGACCAGCGTTCTAGGTGTCTGGATGCCTTTCATCTCGTGCTGAGCGCGCATTTTGTCTATCACTACTTGGTCGTCAACTACGACAATCCAGGCGCACTCACCCACATCGTCTGGAGCTTCAAGGTACCCAGTCTCCTCATCTCGAAGTGCCGCACAACTGATGTCGTATAGCTTCGTGTAGTGGTTGATGTACGTCATTCAGTCCAGGTTGGAGATGGCTCCTAACATTCGAGTAGGCCCTTGTGGTTTGCTCAGTGCACACGTACGTCGCTCTGAATATCTCGCATGACGCTCCTACTTTAACGCGATGTATAGGCTCTACACATCCCGGCTGTGGACCCGTAGGTTGATTCGCCTGACCACAAGAGTTCTGGCTCACTACGTGTTCGTTAGTCCTCGCAATCGACGATCAGGTCGAGCCCTTCGGCAAAGAGGCCCGAAGATGGAGTCGGCAAAAGTTGACTCCACATGCCAATGCGTCGCGATGGGTCATGCGAAAAGTGGTACCATGGCTTGTCGTAAGTCTAGCATATATTCCACACTATGTTGCTGAGACCAAGCTTCGGAATCCTACAGAGCGGGTTGGTTGGCGTTGGCTACGGTATGTATTCAGATACGAGAAGCGCCCCAATTCTCTTGTGCTAAATCGGAACTTTTCGACTAGGGATAGCGATAGGTACGTTCGAGACGCTTTCACGAGATGGTGCGACACTCACGCGTCTGTGTAGTCATGTGTTTCGAGACGTGCGATCGTTTCTCCTCTATGCGCCGTTTGGGGTACTGATAGCTCCATAGATTCAAGCTAGAGTCGTTCGATGATTCGATGCATGCGCCCGTACGATCTTTTCGCCTTGCTACGCCCGTGGCGCACCGACTTACAAGCTAGCAGTGGGCAACATTCGTTCCCTTAGGCTCATCTACAGTAATCGACGCAGTCATTGCCGGATCGCTGTGCTACTTCCTTTCTCGATGTAGACCGCAGTCTGAGGCGTGCGTTACCATTTCATGCCGGGGCGTCGTGATTCCGCTGACCTACAGACGTAGTATGAATGGACCCTTCAAGACATTGATGGTATACACGTTAAACACCGGCACTATCACTGGGTAAGTGGAGCCACCCAAGCTCATGGGTCTCGCTGACCCAGTCGTTCCAACCAGGCTTTGTTCTCTGCTCACAATCGCGACGGTATGGCTCCACCTCTACATGTCAACCCGATATACTAACATGGATACCTCAAGATGGTCGCGTATCCGACCACTTTCATCCCCATCGCGATAGAGTTTATTGTCATCAAGCGTGCGTCTCTCTTCTGCTCTGAGGACACTTCAAGCTCATCTTCAGATTTGCAGTATATATCAATTCGTATATGGCAATGTATACCCCTCCCCTTTCCCTCCTGGACCACGCTAATACCAATATGATAGGCTTAACGCGCGCAGCATACTCCACTCCTCTTCAGAGCGTCACCCTATGTCGTCCTTCCTCCCCACCAACTCGCGTGTCCTCCGCTACCCTCTCGAGCACAAGCGCCCTCCCTTCCCCTCGTTCTCGGTTTCCGTCACTTCTCTGCCCCTCACCCCGCGCGTTCCCAGTTCTACCCCAACACCAGGAGGCGGCGTACATGCTCCGACATCCGATGCGCGCGCATCCGCGGAGTGGACGCGACCAAGCCCGGTGCCGACGCTACGGGCACCGCGGCTGAGCCACCCCGACGCTTGCCCGCAGTACGATGCAAACGAAGCCGCGGTTGGCGTGACGTTCCCGCCAACTGCACAGCAGCGCTTCCATTCATTCACCTCTGCGTCGTCTTCCGCGACGGTGGCGGTGCCGCTCAGCCCGCGCACGCTTGCGGCGACGTATGCAGACCCCATTGATCCGCTCACTCCGGCACGCCATCCACTACTGCTGCCTGCCGCGGAGATTGTTGAGACCTCCGCCGAGGCCGACCCGGACTATCCGTCTCCGCCTGACCGTGCATTGTCCCCCCTTCGGTTCGCGTCCTACTCGTCCTCGAGCGCGAGTCCGTCCGGATCGCTTTCTCCCCCGACAAGCCCGACATACGCGCGACCGTCGCGCCCTCGCCTTCCGAGCGCGTACTCGACAACAGAGTCTACCCGCGATGGCGCAGGCGAGGGTTCAGCCCGCAGGTTCACTCTTATGGTAAGCGCGGCGAGGGAGAGTCGCCGTGCCCTCGGCAGCTTCCAAAGCGGGCGCAGTTCCATCGGACCAGAGCCCGTGGCGGAGCGCAGTCGGGACGACGAGCGCGGTATCTGGATTTGGGGCGGCCCTGGGTCGCCTACGGGAAGCTGATTCGGGTGTAGTCCCCACCTGTAGCGCTTGCTCTCGTTTGCCCACTTCCGGAACATTAACCTGCTCATGCGTCCATCTGAGTTCCATGTGTAGATTTCACCCCGTCTATCGTTGACCTACGTTATTCCTCACCCTATATCTTGTCCCCCTCACCCCTCGGACCGTTCCTTCGTTACTCCATCCATCCGATATCCGCCCTATACGATATCCTCCCAATACGCTCGCTCGCTTCCACTTTTTCCCGTGCCCGCAAATACCTTGTCCTGTTAGTTCCTGTTAGTATCGCAGCCGCATCCAGTGCTGAGCCGCGGTGAATACACTGTACTGTACGTAGTACTAGATTTACATCGCACGCATTATGTGCTCTACCGACGTTACTTGTCGTGCCCACCGTCCTAGCTTAGACGTGCCGGGTCTCTAGCTTGTTGTTTTCTGCTCGAGTCTACTGTACCTGCCCCTTCGTTCGCGGTCGTGCGTACAGTACTCGTTTTCGGTTCCCTCTGTGGCCACCTCTTTGATCAAATTCCACCGTGCTGGGGGTGTAAACAGGAGGCGAGCCTCTGAGCAAGACACTATAGCCAAGTGGTTAAGGCGACAGATTAGAACGGCATCTCCGTCCTACGACGAATATCTGTTTCTCTCTGAGAGCGTAGGTTCGAACCCTACTGGTGTCGGCACCCTCTTATATGTATTTTTGCCTGATGTGGTCGCGCGGTGCGTGGTACAGACAGGGTGAGTTCTGGGTATATCCTGATGCTACAGGAGGTGCATGAGCGCGAACGGCCGCGTCGGCCCATACCGAACGCTGGGTACAAGCGCTCGTCTTCGTGCGCGACCCCTGGACATCGTCATACCCTTCGAACGCATACAACCGGCTCAGGAAGGACTGGCCAGCTAGTACTCTTGGGTACCACGGCGAGGTCGGATGCGGAACCGTGGCTCGAGTGCGACTGCGATGAAATCATACGCCGAGTATGAGCGAATTGATGGTGGGATACAGTATAGGCCGGAAAAGGCGTCGGCCTGAGGTGTGACGTACCCGCCGCAGAGACCATGTGTCGCCCGCGTTCGGACATGGGGGATCGTTCGGTGAGTGGGTGAAGCTGAGGGGCTTGAGGCTGATGCTGATCAGCTCCCCGCTGCCCCTGTTGAGCTCGTCGGCGAGAGAACGGCGGGCGTTCAACCTGCGACCCAGAGACGACGATGAGGGGATACGAGTACTGGGCGTCGAATGGGAGAAATCACGTACATAGCCAGGAGAGAGATAGTGTACACTGTATGCGGTATGTGTGATTAATATACGGGAATGGCCGCGGGTGTACTCACTGTTCGCGCCGACGATGGAGATACCAACTCCGATGAGGTCTTCTACGCGTGCGTTCGCCTAGGATGCATCAGTTCCGTAGTGCTGCCCGGGTGTATGGGGAGGACGCACGACCGAAACTGCAACTATATCAAAGATACTGATGACGAGCACTTAGAAGACGGGATGACCACGGGTGGAAGCGTTCGCAACGACGCCGCGCAGATATAAGTTTACTCACACCGTAAGGAGTCCTGCGGAGTGATTGGAAATCAGCATCGATCTCGCACCCCCGACGAGGCTGTGAGAGCGAAATAGCGTACCGGTATTCACGGAGTACAATATGAGGCGATCTATCAGACGATCCGACCTGTATCTGCAGGTAAGCGTCTGTAGGATCGATCGCGAACGCATGCACAAAGCTTACGTCTTCAGTCCTGTGCGGCTCTGTTTCAGCACGACTACGAGGACGCTTGTGGTGAGCGTGTCCGAGAATGCAGCAGACGCTAACGCGAGAGTCTCGTCGAGCTGTGGTTCGAGATAATGTTAACGTGACAGCACTCGAGAACGGGCAGAGGACTCCTCACGATGTACGCCTTCGGGTGGATCAACGTCGCCTTTGAGCTGCAGGATAGTCAAAGCTCGTCACAGCTACTCGGAGTTTGGATAAGGACGTCGTACACACATCTTGGCAATCGAAGCTACAGGCAAAACGTCAGTAGTAGTCATGCACCCCTTTTAAAATCGACTTACACGCCGTGAATGCTAGATATATATGCTGTCTTCAACAGAGCCATCACGGTATATCGCATACGGCGGCTCACCACAAGCGGCCAACGAAAACAGAACCTGCGAGAGGAGGAATCAGATACAGCGTACACAGTCGACAAGGCGAAGGAGGAGCGATACCCACCGAGGTAGTGGCTAGAGGGCGGTACTTCGGTCGAACTGTTATATAGCAGTAATGAGAGACGACGCGGCTCATACACAGAAATCCTTACGCATGTACACCCGGAAAGCGAAGAAGCTGAACTCGAGCGTTAGCCCCTTTGAATCATCAGAGCCAGGCGTCCGGCGGCGCGCGACGTCTCTCACCATTGAGCGACGCAAACGGTTAAGCCCTTCCCGTGTCCAATCAGTGAGGAATAGTCACAAGCATTAGATAGTAGGATAACGCACCGAGAGCAGCGGTATTGACTGGGGGCGCGAGCAAGTAACCGCAGTCAGCGTGGTGATGTGTCAACGTATAGCTGACTCACGTCGAAAGACCTACGATCGGTGGTGAGGCGCTTCAGCGCGAGGACGATATGGTGATGAACTTCTGTTCTCACCAGACGCCTTGTGCGAGCGACGTTGGATTGGAGGACTTCGTTACGAGGTGATAATAACTGGCGAATGCTGTCAAGCAATGTAGTGGGGCTGAGAGTCGGCCGCTGAACACACCAGGCATGTACGCATGCTACGGTCAGAAGAGTTTCCAGGAAACTGTGTGCACGTTCATTCACGAGTACGTGCGGAATACCACGACGGCATGACCCACAATGTACAGTAGACCTACGGGTGTCCCCAGCATACTCAGCAATTACGAGCAGCCCGAAGACGCTTCTACGACACTTACGAAGAACTTGGTAACCGTCCTGTCGTTGCGATGGTAGACGTTCATATACCACCACAGCTGGTATATGTCTGCCCCATATAAGCTGGCATCCGAATACTATCAGTATGCGTCCCTGGCCCCGAGATCGCGCTGCAGAGCGGCTACACGCACACAAGGCCCCCAAAGGTACCCACCAATATGGCGCCGAACGTGCTATCGAGAGCGGGCTGATCGAGCGAAAAGGGAGCCTGTGAGGAACCAGACGGCAGAGAGACCACCGATGAGGCATTAGCGGAAGTCATGGCTAGATGCCCAACGTCTTGGGGCGTACTCGCATTCCGTGCTGCGCATCCCGGAGCTTATGTACCGGAGGCTGAATCGGCCTTGTCGGCTGCCTGTTGATAGCAGATCGCTCCGGCCAAGGACGAAGCCCACTGACAGCACGCCAGATGTCGGCGCCCGAGGTGTTCCACTGTGGGCGCAGATTGTATCGTCCTGTGAACGCAGGAGCGCGAGCAGTTGGCTAGGCGCTGGGTATTGTGTTTGATTCCGTCTACCTGGGCGTGATCGCACACAGGTCGAAGTCGTCCTCCGGGGATACCGTATCACCTAGTGCATCTTCCTTGGGAGGTATACCTTGAGGCAGCAGCTGACCCGGCGGTTGTCGCGCTCCGGTCCATCTTCTGTGCTTCGGGGAACCATAGACGCCACGAAGGCAGTAGACACATATGGGCTGATGATGGCGAAGGCTACGTGTGAGAAAGGTCGCCCTAAGGCCCGGGGCGTGCACTGCAAATGGACGCCCGAACAACAACACGGAAGCAAGGAAGCTATGCTCGAGCGTCATGAGTATTGATGAAGAGAACGCTTTTAGAGTACATCGAGACGCCTACCTACTACTGCTTGATTCTGGTCACAAGGTAGAATGGCGTCGTATGTGAGCATGCGGAGGACTCGCGTTGCCTTGAACATAAGGAAAGCGTGAAGGCGCGTATGACTATGATGCTACGTGTGAATAGTACAACCTTGTTTCGCAGCACACGACAGTATGGCATCTGCAAGGTGGATATGCAATCTGCACGGGAACCTGCGAAGCCTCGAAACCTCAAAACCTCAAATTGCTCGAAGCACCGTGTGCAGTCACCGCCCAAGAAGTTGATGCAAGCCCTTCGATTGCAACCAATAGTTGTCCCGGTGAGCACTGCAGCGCCCCAGAGTGCCGATATCATCGCTAGAGCTCCCTATCGAGGCTCTGCGTTGTGGCTGTCAGAAGATGGATCCCGCGGCAGCGGACTGCGAGGGTGAATACGCTGCAGGTATAAGGAGAGCGCCGTCGCTGTGCATGCTTCTCCGAGGTAGTCGCGCGCGTTCAGATAATGGGCACGGCTCTCAAGTATTTGCAACGACGTTTGAGCGGAGGTACGAGAACGAACATGGCGAGCAGCGATTTTGAGTAGAACACGAGAGTGTCAAAGTCAGTATACTCGATGTTCTGCAAATGTGACGTTGGCAGAGACTCACATGTGCCCGGCGATGGTCAAAGTTCTAGTACGCAGTTTCCTGTGGGTAGATTCTAATGAGCGTTGATAGTATGGTTAGCTGGGGGCGTGAACAATGCGACGCGGGAGACGTACAGAATCGACAACCAAACTGCAAACTGCCAATATCGTATCAGTATATCGATACTACGCACGTCATACAGACTTCTACGTCCTCCGACTTTTGGTTATATACTGTCGCGCGTCTCCATATTGGCCAGTGTCATCTCAACTCGACCGGGACTTTGAAACGTTGCCCGGCTATGGCGGTTGGAAGTTGGGAATGAGCGCTTAGTAATCTCGTTCGGGATCCAGATGCGAAGAGAGGCGCCGACTGAAATCCATGCACTCGAACTCGAAGCCTGTCGACTAAAACTGACATGCATGCTGCATAGGCCTATAAAATATGGACAGAGAGGATAAATTGTTCCCGGAAAGAGACACTGCAACTCAGAACATTAGGAATATGTATAGGTTCAATCACCAACTCCCTACTCCGTAAGGCGGTCCCGAAGACGATCTTGTATCTGTATGCGCGGCTCAAGCGAAGACGGCACGAGACCCGGACCTGTCGGACTTGAGTGCGAGCGCGGGCTGAGATCCTGCATGGTCCGGCTGAGGTAGCGCGGACACAGCATGAGCGAATACATCTCAAAATGAGCATCAGGAATGCGCATGGCAGCGCGCACCTCGATGGACGGCAGGGAGATTCCGAGAGGTCCGAGGCTGATCGCGCCGTCCCGGTGCATGCTCATGTCCTCTGAGAGAGACTCGCGTGCGTTAAGTCTGCGGAGCCGTGATCAGACATAGCTCCAGGCGCAGAAAACGGGGTGTAGAGGAGAGCGGTGACGCACATGGCCAGAAGTGAATTTGTATACACTGAGATGTCCGGGTCAATGAGCGGGCGCAAATGGATAGGTGTGAATGCCAGTTACTTGCCCTTTGTCCCGACGAGCCCGATGCTGAAGTCGATGAGGTCGTTCGGGTACGCAATACCCTGGTACGGCGTCAGGTACTAGTCAGAAGGGTGAGAGCAGGAATCGTAATTGGAGGTACGTACGAATGAGACTGATAGGACGTCAAAAATCCTGATGTACGAACATACCAGAAGCCATCAAAATCATGTCACCACGAGAGTGGTACATCTGCTCTCGTGCCCGTGAAGAGTGGGTACTCACACAGTCAGGAGTCCTGCGAATGGGCCTTTCAGCTAGGTCAAGGGCGAATGAAAGAGGA